AAATCCAGGAGTTTGAGACTAAAGGGAGCTATCATGACACAACTGCATTCCAACTTGGGTGATGGAGCAAGGCCCTGTCTCTTTAAAAAAAAAAAATACTACTTATTGTTGATTTAACAAATAAGTTATAATATAGCAAAGTACTAGCTAGAGACAGAACAATAACTTTCCTTTTAAGATTATAACCTATGGGCATAATGGCTCATGCCTGTAATTCTAGCACTCTGGGATGCCAAGGTGGGTGGATTGCTTGAGCCTCAGAAGTTCAAGACCAGGCTGAGCAAGAGCAATAGCAAGACCCCCATCTCTACTAAAAATAGAAAAACTAGACAGGTGTAGCAGCACATGCCTATAGTCCCAGCTACTTGGGAGACTGAGACAGGAGAATTATTTGAGTCAAAATGTTTCAGTTTGCTGTGAGCTATGACACCACAGCACAGCACCATCAGGGTAAGAGAGTGAAACTCCGTCTCAAAACAAAAAAGTTATAAAACTAAGGGGATAGATCATAGCTCCAACCCCTCTCTTCTGGGATTTATTTGCAAACTTCAACATCTTTGTACAAGACCAAGGACTTCAATCTTATGACCTCCCTCATCTCTTTGCTCTAGCAGAGATCAGAGATCATAGGCAGCCTTCCAAGAACAGCATATTGCAGGACTCACTTCCTCAGTGTTTTCCAAGCAGACCTTTAGTTCTTTGGGAATGGAGCAAAGGAACTTCATTCTTTTTTCTTTACAGAGATAATCAAGTTAAAACAAAGGAACTTCAGAGCTCACTGAAAGCTCTTAACTTCCTGACTTCAGGGTTGTTGAAAATAAAGAGGGAGTGCCTACCTCCCAGAATGGCGAGGAATAAATACCATGTTTGTAACAGGCTTGATTAGTGCCTGGCACATAGTAGGCACTTGCTGAATAATGGATATTATTATCTATTGTGGAAATGGTAGGTGAATGTTGTTTTTAAATGGACCTGCTTTGGAGTAGGGAGGGTGGGACAGTTAGGACAACAAACAGAGAGGCTGAGGAAAAACGAAAATGATTTGACAGCTGCCTATAAATCATTTTGGAAAAGGTGGAGTGGATAAATGTTTTGAAGAAAAAAATTCCCTACATATAAATACAAATCCTTTTACATACATATATATTTAGATACATGGTTCCTCGGAAGGACAGTTAACAGGTAATACGCTGTTCAAGTCCCCACGACAACAGCTGAAGAAAAACTTTTAAAAATGTTTGCCATGAATGGTACATTTCCAAACTATTTAGAAATGAGTATAATTGTGATGGATGTGTTACTTAGTTCAATGTAAGCATTTCACATTGTATATCGAAGCAGTACCCTGAACCCCATAAATGCATCAATGTACAAAGTTATGATTTAATAAAAAATAATTTAAAGAAAAAATGCTGTATCAATTAGTAAATGTACTGATTAGGATACATGGAGTAAAATAAGTCAGAAAATAAAAGATGTAATTAAAAAAAAAGTGGCTTGGCACCTGTGACTCAGGTGGCTAAGGTGCCAGCCACATACACCTAAGGTGGTGGGTTAGAATCCAGCCTGGGCCCGCCAAACAACAGTGAGGGCTGCAACCAAAAAAAAATAGCCGGGCGTTGTGGTGGGCGCCTGTGGTCCCAGCTACTTGGGAGGC